AGAATCCACAGAATAAATTGAAGTAAAACATTTCAAACTATTCCACACAGAATAAATTGAAATAAAACTATTTTTAAAAATTCTATGCACAATGCATTTCAAAGTATTGAGTATAAAATTTTTTAAAATGGTTTTACCAATATGCCAAAGAATAAAATTATACTGTACATAATTTTTGTAAACATATTTAATAAATCTAAATGTAAATAAATGTATTATATTTGTAAATTGTAGTTATGTTGAAATAAAAAAATATTACAATACTATTTTTGCATTATATGAAAATTTTTGTTGCTCCGTATAAGAATAAACTGTAATGTACTATCCCATTATCAAACTATTTTGTCATATTTTTCAAATAATAATGTGACATCTGTTATTCAAAATATGCAAGCTAAACCATTCACTTAGCTATGGATTACAATAATCTTCCCTTCCCAGCCAACCTGAATATCTCGCTTAAAAAAAAATCTACTAGTGAATCTCACCTAAGCTTTCATTTTGTTAAAAGTCTATTATAAAATCTCTTATTATTGAAAACACAATAACTTAAAAAAACAAAACTCACCTAAACCTTTTTGCCCAGGGTTTTTAGCAAAGTTAAAAGTAAACTGATAAAAATCTTTAAACTTCATTGGATCCTTTAATTCTTGTTCCAGTCTTGGTAAAAGAGATTTTAGCTTGTCTGTGGTATCACACCTGGTAAAAAGATGCTACTTTTCAGTTTATTCAGTATAATTGTATTGTTTTAGAATTTTGAAATATAAATATAAAACTTATAAAATATATGTTCAAAAAATAGGAAATTGCAATATACACGAAATAGATCCATTTTAAGACTAATTCAGTTGCTGTTAGTGTAACAAACATATTATGCCATAATATTTCATTCAGCTGCAGAAATAAATACATAAAGTACATATTCATTTTGTATTGCATATAGAGTGATTTTGCAAATAATAGGCAGCTATAACTAGTGCAGTAAAATAAATGCCTTTTACCCTAATAAGAGTTAAAGCATGGTGTAAGGGCATTTATATGAGAACAATAAATATGATAAAGCTAACTTATTTCTCTACAATTTCACTACTGTTTTATGCTATTTTGTCAATTGATATATAAAGTAGATTATGTATCTATGTAAAATTGAAAACAGTGATTCTCATACAACAAAATTACCACAGACAGCTGTTGATAAAATGTACCATCCATTTTCCATTTACTGTACTTCTGATGATAATAAAGTCCAATTTCAGTGAGCAGAATAACAAGAAAATGCTTCTGACTTTCTAGTAAGCAACGTGGGCAAAATCACATCCTTGTGATCAGCATTAATATTACTTAAATTTAATTATTAGCATACTTTATTTTTAGTTGCACAAGCAACTCATATTGGGGTTTTGTAATATTTACTTCTCAACTTACAACCATTTCTCTAGTGACTGTTCAAGTTAAAGTTAAAACGACCCTGAAAAATGGCTTACAACCCATCCTAGCAGTTACAACCATTGCAGGATCCCCACAGTCTCATAATCAAAATTCTGGCACTTGGCAAGTATTTATGACAGTTGCAGTATCCCAGGGCCGTGGGATCACCATTTGTGACCTTCCCAATTGGCTTCTGATAAGTCAATTGGGAAAAGTCAAGGGGGGAATCAGGATTCGCTTAACAATTGCATAAATCACTTAACCACTGTGATTCACTTAACAATTGTGGCAAAAAGGATGTAAAATTGGACACAACTCGCTTAACAACTGTCTTACTTAGCAACAGAAATTCTGGTTCTAATTGTGGTCACAAGTTGAAGATTAGATATTTGATCTGTATATGAACTGCTTGTCGTTCTAGGATTGTAACTGAATTGCAGCATTTTGCACAGATCAACAATTAAGCATTGCCAAGAAATTTAAATTGGCTCTGATTTTAAATACAATGAGTAAGTATAACCACTTGGTTAGATGACATCAACATAGGTACAATCCATGGTGACTATAGAAAAACACCTGACATCGCAATCTGTGATAATCTATAGTTTTTTTTAAGGCACTCCTATTTTTTCAGGACATTTATTGTCCTTTTCTGCTACTTTGCTCAACCTTCTCAGAAACTGCTGTTTTTACTAGTTTGCTGACATGACTAAGTATATAAGATTCTGTTTAGTGAGCATTGTTTAATGGGGGCAGTCTTAGTTTAGTCCACTGGATGCCGTTTCCTTTGTCTTCTTAAAATTTAACATTTAGCCATTTTTTTCACTTTCCCTCGTGAAAGTCCCCAAGAAACTAATGTTATCTTTCAAACTATTAAGTGTTTTGACATTCAACTTTAATGGCATGCCTCATCCCTTCCAATCTTGCCATTCATATAATCTATTTCCTGTGGAAATTAAACACATTACTTTCGCTTTATCTTTATATTCATCTGAATAGTGTTGATATTTAAAATGATAACTTCAACAAATACTTGTATTTCATCTGGTATTTTGCTATAGTACTGTGGTTTGGACCAATATATTTTTGTAAATCCATTTTTCCTTCCTGAGTGGGCATGTGTAATTGTAGTGCTACACTTTTTGTGTTCAACCATCGTCTGATGTTTAATGACCCTTGTCCATTTTTATTTCAATTTAATGCCATTTTTATGACAAAAGTTAGAGCATTGCACCAATTAAACAGATATAGGGTTAATATATATCTATGTCATTTCTTCTTGTTTTTGGACAATTCTACTTCTCCAAATTTAGATTTTTATTGTAGCTTCTTATTCTGTGAACAAGGAACTATGAAGATTCCTTGGAAGAATAATATAATATTCTGACAGTTAAACATTAATATTGCGCACATTCTGAAATACACTCTGCACAAAAGGCTCATTGTATTCAATAAAAGAGGTAAATCTTATAAATTTGCTTGCTCTTCCTATTTACACTGTATATGATCTTACTTCCCTCTGCCTCTTTAGACACTAGAAAGGTGATTGGAGATCTGAAGTTGGAGGAATTGTTCCCTTACCATGGTAGAACGACTTCCCATTGAAATTTAAAGTTACGGCAACTCTTCTTTTTTCTGGGGAAACACTAGGATAGTCCTCCTTGGAATGAATAGATCCCAACAGATTCCAGAAAACTCTAGCTCTTCTAGCTAATATGATGGATGCTCCTGATAAAAGTTTTGATTATTCTGTAAAATGTAGGTGTGACTTGAGCAGTTGACATAATAAGCAATTTTGGAAGGCAGTTGTAATATAGATAGAAGTAAAAAAATCTGATTAAATATTACTAAGCTCATTATTAAAGTCTATTATATGGCCGTGAGGGAGGTGAAAAACCAGAATTTCCCTGTGTGGTTTGGGTATTACTAAGAAATAGCCTAGCATAAAGTTGAATAGAATCCTTGGTAATACATTGTAGTATGTTAGCTTTGAGGATACAATCAATTATACTTATCTTATACTTAAGACTCAGCATTTCTGGCAGTTAAATTTATAAAAGTCTTTTTTATGACTTTATGACAGATTTGTTGAATTCTGATGACAAAATGATTGATAGAGATTGACCTCTCACTTGATTTTAGTTATTACAGCTTATTATATATGGCAGGATGGGAATATTTGGGTGAAAGGTATAAGCTACTTAAGATATGTCAGATATTTTGTCATACTGTAGTCTATTTGCATTTTAGAAGTAACATTTGTCTGATACTTTTCACTCTGAATCTTCTTTTATGTTTTTATCTTTTAAAAAAATAATAAAATTGAACTTCGCCAGTGAAGGAGTGGGCCTTCATTCATAAAGACTATGATGAAAAAATTCAGATGTGGGTCTCAATAATTATAGCCTTCTCAATTCCCTTTTATCTTCCCTAAAGTTTAACGTCTGCATTAATCTGTTCAGCAAGGTCATTCAGAAACGTTGAGTAAAATATTATGTTGCTTACATAAAACCCTCTTGTTTTCATAAAATCCAGTGAAAAGACAAAATATTGTGCTTTGCCAAAGTAAATGAATTGGATGACAGTCAAGAAAGCTCAATCCAGGCATAGAGATGCTACTGATAGGTGATTTGTTTAGGTGAGTTATGCACATCCTATTCCAAAAGAGATTGCAAATCTTCCTAATGTGAAAAACATCTATATCAATCTTTGTCATTAAAGTCATAAATGTCATCTGTAAATGATGTATCTTTTCTTGGATTAGGTTACTGGGTCAGTTATAATGATATGTGGACAGATAGTTACCCTGCTAATTTATGCCCTGATCATTTTTATGTAAATTACTACAGTGTGTTTTATATGAGGCTAATCTTCAAGGTGGGCCAAAATCTAGTTAGTATTATAGTTCAGCAACAGTATGAATTGGAACTAGAACTACAGTATGAAAGTACACTTATCTTACATGGTTATTGGCGACTCCTGTTTGCACTGAGCCAAGGTGGCGCAGTGGTTAAATGCAGCACTGCAGGCTACTGCTAGATCAGCAGGTCAGCGGTTCAAATCTCACCGGCTCAGGGTTGACTCAGCCTTCCATCCTTCAGAGGTGGTTAAAATGAGGACCCAGATTGTTGGGGGCAATATGCTGACTCTCTGTAAACCGCTTAGAGAGGCCTGAAAGGCCTATGAAGCGGTATATAAGTCTACTGCTATTGCTATTGCTCATAATCCAAGGTATTAATAAAAATTTGTATAATTTTTCATTGTTTGGGACCATAATGCCTGAAATAACAGTATTAATTATATGTTCCCATTCATCATCTGAGATTATCTTCAGGGGTTCTGCTGTAGATGGCTCACTGCAAATGGCCATAAAGTTAAACTGGCTGTCAAGTGCCCAAAATGTGATCCCATGACCACTTTGGAAGTGGGCATTATAATTTCAAAATGTGTTGCAATTAGCTTTGAGAGTATCCATTGTAAACTGAGACTATCTGTACAGATAGTTCTCGATTTATGACAACTGAGCCCAAAAATTCTGTTGTTAAATGAGACATTTGTTAAGTGAATTTTGTGACATTTCTTGCCATAGTTGTTAAGTAAATTACTGCAGTTGATAAGTTAGTAACATGGTTGTTAAGTGAATTTTGCTTCCTCATTGAATTTGCTTGTCAGAAGGTTACAAAAGTTGATCATATGACCTTGGGACACAACAACTGTCATAAATATGAACAGTTGCCAAGCATATGAATTTTGATCACATGATCATGGGGACGCTGGAAAGCTTGTAACTATGAAAAACGGTCCTACATCACTTTTTCAGTGGTATTGTAACTTTGAACGGTTACTAAATGAACTGTTGTATGTCAAGGACTACCTGTACTTGGCTGTCATTAAAATCAATAAAACATATATTAATAGTGTATCCCACAATATTTGTGCTTGAATTTCATCAAATAGCAAGATTGCTGTTCTCAAAACTGCCTGCCATCAGCAAGACCACTTTAAAAAATAAGTTTCAGTTGAAAGAAATAGTGAGTTACTTACTTAGTAAGCACGTCAATTGAATGCAAAATATGTTTGTGGGAGGGAATATATTCAGAACTGAGGAACTGGATTATTTTACCTATTTTAAGATGTTTATACACTCTTAATAAACCATAGGCTTATGTCAAAACTTTTTAAAGTCCTTGCACAATTAATTAGGCAAGTTACTGTTAATTTTAATTCCACAACCATGTGTAATTCTTTGTATATTTCATATACTTGAATTTTTAACCAATTTGACAAAATCAGTTTTGATATAAACTATTTTGATATTGAAAAATATGAAATTCTGATAAAAAACTGTTATGCTCACCCCAACTCTGTCATGCCATCTACAAATTCTTTTTTACTGAATTCACACTGAGTCGCTGCCCGGAATTTCCATGCTATGACCAAAACACTGATACTAGCAGGATCCAGACTTAAATCGTCACAAAATTGCTGAATTCCATCAATGCCAATTTTATTGTCATCCTGTGGGTCTGTATTTGAAAACAAAACAAAACAGAGTGTTATATTTTATATTAAAGATGCGTAATTTTTTCATAATCATACAATGGTATTCTGATTTTTAAAACTACATCTTTATGGTTTCCATTCTTACTGCCTAAAAAATATAATCATATAAATCAGGTCAAAAAAGGAACTAGTGGTGATCTGTATACATAGAAAGGTTCATTTCATTTAAAATTGTAGTAATTTTAGCAACAGTACTGATATTTAAAGCACAACTGTCCAATATAAAAACCTATGAGACCATTGTGGTTTGCTTCCAATATGAGCAAGTAAATTTAGATGAGAAATATACATTACATTTTGCTGAGATGAAAAGCAAAACGTTTGAGACTGATTAGGGTTGTTGTTGTTAAAATTAGTTGTTAACATAGTTGTTAAAATTCTAACACCCTATTATTTCAATAAAAAGTTCCTGCTATTTTAAGCAACATAGGTCTCCAGGGGTTGATAGGCAGACTTCTGTTTCTCCATGTCACATCATCATTCTTTAGACACCAGCAGCTAAAAAAAGGCACCTCTTTGCACATGCTACACTTCTAAAATATTATTTGTTTATCCCAAGTAGAGCCTTGTAATGAACGCTGCTCGAGATTGCCAAATCAATTTCCCCGCTAAAATTAAAATTAAAAGTTCTATTCTCACAGAGAAAATAGCTAAAAGTTTAGAAAGTGTTCCTACTTCAGTTCACATATTTTGCCTTCCTCTTTTTACACGGCAAATAGGTAAAAAATGTAATACTTGTTCTTTTAGCACACATCACTGCATGCTTAAGCTAACTACAGCTAGTCCTCAACTTACAATCCTTTGTTTAGTGACCAATCAAAGTTATGACACACTGAAAAAAATGAATTATGACAGTTTTTCACATTTACAACCGCTTCAGCAGCCTCATGCATGGTCAAAATTTGGATGCTTGGCAACTGGTTCATATGACTGAAGTGTCGCAGGGTCATGTGATCATTTTTTCTGACAAGCAAAGTAAATGGGGAAACCAAATTCATTTAACAACCATTACTAATTTAATAACTACAGTGATTCATTTAACAACTGTGACAAGAGTTCATAAAATGGGTCAAAACTCATTTAATAACTATCTCACTTAGCACCAGAAATTTTGGGTTCAATTTTGGTTGTAAGTTGAGCACTACCTGACTGCAGCTAAAATTAGTAAGAAGAATTTTCAAGTTAAACGCTAGCTATTCCAATATTAATTGTTGTAATTATTTTAACTATTTCATATAAGCATCTTTGGGGGTGGCCATTTCCATCATCACTAATCATTTGCACTTCTCTCTCTGCGCTTGAAGTGCTGATAACTGTAAAGCTTCAAAATGTTACTTATTTGGGGCAAAGGAAATAAAGCATTCTGTTAAATATTAGATATCTGGGTAAGGCAGAATGTGTCTGACTACCTTTTGTCTCAAAACAATCAGAGTAGCCATATGCTTATAAGAAAAGGTCTTAACAACATTTTCAAGTATTCTACTCCCATGCAAGGAATGAAATTTTATGTCGCTGAAGTTTTAAAGAATAGCAAATTGCAAGATGTAATTGGCAGGAGATAGCTTGAGAATGCAAAGAAAACCATTTGCAATGCTCTGAGAAATCAGCTTTGTTAAAATAATACACTAACAATTGCATTAAAGCATTAGTTAAGGGTAAACATCTACACTCAATGACAAGCAAAATAAAAGCAGACCAAGTATAACAAAAGCAATGTGCCAGTCATAAGTGACCTAAAAAGTTATGATGTAAAAAAGGTTAACAATTAAGTAAAAAACTTAATATAATGTAAAATTTATGAGAATAAACTAAATTAAAATGTATAATAGTGTCACTACTCCAAATTTAGGCCATTTTACACCTTTTTACAAAAATTGCTGTAGGTAACTATTTAGTAATTCTATTGGTGATAGAAACATTGTGATCTGAGAGTAAGAAAGGAACCATCTCTCCTTCATAACAGATTTCATTTTTGTTAAGGTATGTTAAAGATGTATCTGCAGCCAAATTACTGTAGAAATAGGAAAGGAAAATTTTATGATTTAGGGTTTCAGGGACATCCTAACCACAAAGACATGTTTTTTTGGTGAATGGAATCCTGCTGTATACTTCGAACCTGGTACTATAGAGGGTAAAGTGTTGAAATGAGGCAAAGAAAAAATCACATCAGCACTGAGAATTGGCTACAATTCATACCCAAATTCTCCTGCCAGGTAATGCCAAAAATTCCTTTACAGGATTGAAATTTAGCTCTAAAACTAGGGAAACAAAGAAAAGAGAGAAAGACTGCAATAGCCTGCACCAACTACATTTTTAATTAACTATCTTGATAAATGCTTTTAAACAGAATTAATAGGTCAACAAATCAGCGCTAAACAAAAGTTTAAGCTAGTAGGAGAGTGAGCAAATGTGCCTCTAATGAGAATGTAACAGCTTCGGGTGAGGATTAAAGTACCTGAGACATAACAAGGGATTTTGTAAAAAGGTACATTGGACTATGTCAAAGGGCCTTGAATCATTAAAAGCGCCTATCTGTGTAGCACATAATATTTAAGATAGTGTTTTAGCTTTAGAAAGTATACATTTACCCATTTATTTATTTGACTTTTATCCTGCCTTTATTACCTTATAAATAACTCAAGGTGGTGGAATATACATAATACTCTTTTGTCCTCCTATTTTTTCCACAAAAGCCTGTGAGGCAGGTTGAGTCGAGAGGGAGCAACTATCCCCAAATCACCCAGCTGGCTTTCGTGCTAAAGGTGAGACTTTAACTCACAGTCTCCTGATGTCTAGGCCAGTACCTTAACTATTACAACAAACTGGGGAGGAAAAACCAGGATTGCATTGACAGAATTGTTAGCTTTGGCAGACACTGAGTCTAATTTGTTTTCGTTTTCTGTTCACAGAAATCACCTATTAGCACAACTTTCCTACAGGCCATCAGTGTCCTGTCCAATCCTCCACTATCAAACACAGACATATATATGAAGTGTCTTTAGGAAGTTTGATATTAATGCTTTTAAAAAAACATATCTTACCAAGGAATTAAATTTACTAATACTAATGAACACATACCCATTACTTTTATCTTATTTTGAAGATTGTAATTTATCCACTTGTAGAATGTAATATTCATCCCTTCCCACTTACTGCATCTCCAAATCAATTTCAGAATAGGACTTTTCAGAGCAGATATAATACACATGGAAGGAAAACCAAAAGAAGCTTGTTCTTAGATATATGATAAAAATTAAATAAAATGCAGCCTTTACTATTTATTTTTTTAGAAATATGCTTGAAAATCCAGTATAATAGAAAAGAACTAGAATCACAAACAAAGATTATGACTTATTCAAAAAGATAACTGTAGGTGTGTAACATACAGTATGGCTCCCCCCCCCCAACTTTATATACAGGTAGTCCTCCGTTTATAACAATTGAGACCTACATTTCTGTTGCTAAGACATTTGTTAAGTGAGTTTTGCCCCATTTTATGACCCTTCTCATCACAGTTGTTAAATGAATCACTGCAGTTGTTAAGTTAGTAACATGGTTGTTAAGTGAATCTCGCTTCCCCATCAACTTTGTTTGTCATAAAGTTGCAAAAAATGATCACATCACTCTGGGATCCTGCAATCATCACAAATGTAAGTCAGTTGCCAAACATCTGAATTTTGATCATGTGACCTTGGGGATCCTGCAATGGTTGTAAGTATAAAAAATGGTCATTTCACTTTTTTCAGTGCTATTGAACTTTAAATGGTCCCTACATCCATTTGAATATGAAAAATACTGATAGGACTAAACATAGAGAACTCATAATTGATGATTTATGTATAGCAGTCATACAAGGATTAAAAAATAAACTAAATTATTAACCAAAATAAATTATTATTTTGTGTCACAAAATATATAGCTCAATAACTGAGGGATACCCCAGAAATGGAGTGAAATAATCCTTAATTTAATAACCCCTCACCAACCTCAGGCTGCAGTGCAATTGAAAAAGTAAGTCATTTTCTTGTTTATGACTTGCTATAGGAGCCCCCCTCCCAATAAAGAACTAGCTATAAATATTCAATTACACAGGTACAGTTTTGATAATATTAAATAAATCACTCCTTCTCTCAGTTTTTTTTAACAAATACCCCTGTAGAATAAAGAAAATTTGTTTAGCACAGAAATTGATCAAGCGCAAGGGAGGAAATAAACGATATTTGGAAATCATATTTGTGGATTTGAATTTTTTTAATGTGGCGAGGAAACAAGGGAATAAATTCAGTAATTAAGATACCGTAACAGCAATGACATTTGTTAGGTATGAAGACCTCTGTATGCAGCACCATGGGCAAAGTAGAAACAAGAACTTCTGAGTTAAAAAGACTGAATCTTTTTTTTAGAAAGTTGGGTATTTGTATGGTTATCCACAAATATGCCTATGCATTAATATACAACAGAGCTAAAAGAGTATTCAAAGTATTTCATTATTTATTCATCTTATTTATAATCTGCTTCTCTTCATGGACCTTAGAATCCTATGCATGGTTACTTATTTTATTGTCACAAACTTGTGAAACAGGCAGGGCAGAGAAAAACTGACTGCCCTATAACCACTGCATCAATCCAATAATTTATTATAGTTCATGACCAGCACATAATAAAAAATATAAAAATTCCATTTATGATTTATTCCTTGTAACCACTTTACTGTCTCTCAGATAACTGGATTGTTTTCTAAAATGTTTGCAGCAATATGAATTCACAAACAGATTTAACAAAGGAGTTTCAATAAAGTTTCCAACCTCAGAGACATTTTTATAGTTGAACATAATTCTGTATTTCAGAACATCCATAAAAGAAATTATTCAATTTTTTACCCTGATTAATTCTTTAAAAGAGAATATTTATTAACAAGCATATTTATCTTTACCTAAATTAAGAAAAATTATATAGATCCTTGCTGGATCTAGTCAGGTAGAATGCTGTACATTAACTCTTTCAGCAAAGATTTCAGTGGAACGTACTACTCAATCTTAATAATGCACATATGGTCATTATATCTTTGGTGGGAATATTCAATAAAAATGGGGTAACAAGTTTAAGCTGCATTCACATTTTCAGTAGAACCAATTTAAGCTTGTGTAATAAGCAACTGGTCTAGAAGAGGAGACAGAATACAATAATACTGTGTTTCCCCGAAAATACAACCTGTCCTGAAACTAAAGCCTTGCCACATTTTTTGTGTGGGCAAAAATATAAGCCCACCCCCGAAAATAAATTCCCTGGACAACTCCAGCCAGGCAGACCACTGCTCACTGACATAGCGGTATCCTGAAGGCACCAAGACACAGGAGCCGGGGGGTGGGGGGGTGGGGAGAGAAAGGCGCTCACATTGCTTGCTGCCTTCGAGATACTGCTAGGTTGGGGAGTGGCGTTCTGCGTGGCCGGAGAGGGGAGTTGCCCAGTTCTCCCTGTAGCAGCCACCGCCGTGCTCAGACAATAACGTCTTCTCCGGTTCCAAACTTCCAAACTCGGCTGCTGAGTCTTCCAGCAGCGGCCGCACTAGGAGTGTGCTCTATGGTTGTGGGCTGGCTGCTGGAAGACTTTTACTTTGTAAGAGAGTCTTCTGGACAGAGAGTCTTCCAGCAGCCAGCCCACAACCATAGAGCGTACTCCTAGAGCGGCCGCTGCTGGAAGACTTGGCAGCAGAGCTTGGGAGTTTGGAACCGGAGAAGACGTTATGCTCGGAGCACGGCGGCGGCTGCTGCAGGGAGAGCTGGGCCCGGACATGTTGAGGCTAGGAGGCATGCCTGCTGGGGGTTGAACAGGGGCTCACGCAACCCCCTTCTCCAGCCCGGCAGAGCTCCATGCATTGACCTAGGGGTATCCCTAATGTGCCAAGCCACGGGAGCTGGGAAGCGGGCAGAGCTCCACGTGGCTTGGCGCCTTAGGGATACACCCTAGGTCAGTGAATGGCATTCTGCCGGCTGGAGAAGGGGTTTGCTGGGAGGTTGCTTGTGAGCTTGGTCACCTCATGGCTGCTTCGCCCCTGAGGCTGTGCCCGGCTCTTCGGGAGCCAGTTCGCAAGAGAGCAGCTCCCGGCAACCCAAAACAATAAGCCCTATAATAAGCCCAAGGCCAAATTTTATAAGTAAAAAGAAAATAAGACCCTGTTGTATTTTTGGGGAAACACAGTATAATTTAATTATATCACATTGACAATGCAGATCCTATATAAAATAGTTCATATCTACTCAAAATATATGATTAGTCTCCTCGCCTTAATGTACAGGTAGTTTTTGATTCACAACATCTCAATTAGTAATTGTTTGAAGTTACAACAGTGACTTAGGATCGTTTTTCACACTTAAGACTGTTGCAGCATCCTCATCGTCATATGATCAAAATTCAGAACTTGGCAACTGGCTCATATTTATAATGGTTGCAATGTTTTGGGGTTGTGTGATCCCCTTGTGTGACCTTCTGCCAAGCAAAGTCAGTGATGAAGCCAGATTCACTAAATAATTGTGTGACTATCTTAACAGCTGCAGTGATTCGCTTAGCATCTATGGCAAGAAAAGTTCTAAAATGGGGCAAAACCCACTTAGCAACAGAATTTTTGTGTTAAATCATGGTTGTAAGTCAAGGACTACCTATGAGTGCCCAGATGTTTATATATTTTAAATTAAAACTTCTTTATACATATTTTCTTTAAAAAAGAGATACAGCTTTACATTTAATAAAGTATACTGTTCTAAACACACATACACACAAATATACAAAAATAGAGTAGTATCACTATACTCATGTTTATAGTTTGATACCATTCATGCAAACCTAGAACTAAGTCCCACTATGTTCAGTAGGGCTTACTTTTTAGTAAATATACTAGGACTGTAGCCCCCTTTCCCCTGAAGGTGTAAACTGAAGTGGAAATCAAGCTCAAAGGAAAAAGTGAAGAAATAAACCTTACCTTTGTACCTGTTATACAATTGTTCTAATTTCTTTCTGTCTATTGAAATTTTCATGGATTCTTTGTAGTACAAGTCTGGATTCTGGAAGTAGTTGTCTGTTGCCACTTCTAGTTTCCACTCATTCTGCATTAAGCAGTATATAGCAGTCCTTTCACCAGCCTGGGTAACTGCCATAAACTGGCGGACCTTGTCCTTCTGAGCCGATTTAAGCTTATGCTTTGGGATGCAAAAGAAGCAGGAAAGCCAATGAAGCTAATCCAGATGTTTTTTTTTCAAAATTTTACTAAAACTGCCTGTCTTTAAAAAATATTGTATTCTTTTTTTTTGGGGGGGGGGAGTAATAATATTTCATTCCAGAAAAAAAAACAAATATATCTTATTTCATTATAGTAAAAAAATTTCTTCTGAAAACAAAAAAATAACTGAACATATATATTTTTAACAAAAAATAAATAAAAATCTGAGGGCAATTCATTTCAGTCTTAACTTTATGCCTCTAGGTTTCCATGTAAAAAGACACAATTTTTACACAGTGGCTTTCCATTAAATGCATAAAACTTTAAGTGAAAGAATCTTTATAATGATAACCCTACAGTAAATAACTAAAAATATTGCATTCTTAATATAATATGAATATGTGATTATACTGAGATAGATTAAGAAGTTTAATGCTGGAAATGTATACACAATTACTTGTGCCTTATTCTGAGAAGTCATGCACAGGATTACACATTAGTTGCCATATAAGTGGTCCTGCCAGTAAAAAAAAAAAAGCAATTTCAGGAGTAAGCGCTTCATAAATATTGCTTTACATTATTAAAAGTAACATTTTTTAAAATATGCCCAGCCAAGATAAATAATGTCAATGTATAATTTTGTACAAAATTTCTATGTAGGTTTTGATAACATTTCTGAACAGTAGGGCACTAAAATATTCATCAGTGAGATTATTACACACTTTAAGGAGATCCTTCAGCAAAAAATGTCCCTCTACAAACAAATCACTTTAGAAAATGGAAAAGTTTCAAGCATAACTTGTCCTACACAACTATATATGATTCTTCCATTTAAATAAATTGCCTAAAAAAAGCAATCTTGATACAGGTATGTTAAAAAAGACATCCTAATAAAACGAAGGTCCTAGTTTCTGTATTTGCCATGCAAACATAAGATTTAAATCTTTTTTAAGTTCTATTTTTGCTTAGCTTTAAGAATGCATGTTCTCTTCTTCCTTTAGCTTTCCTAATTCTCTTAAGGGTGAAAACGGAGGGGGAGGAGAAGAGTCGAAAGGCTTGCAAGAAATCAGAATGTTAAGTTTAAAAAGGAGGAAGAGGAGGAGTTGCAATTCCAGGTGTTAAAACGAGGCTTTGCTCCCAAAGTGGGATCTTCTTTTCAATTTTGTTCTTCACCAAAGAGGCCACTCACCTAAAGGGATGTCAGGGAAAGAAGTGGCGAGGGGACAAGGAGAAGGTTGGAGACTACAATAGCGAAGGGAAAATGCAACGAAATAACCCGAGACAGAGGGAGGGGAATATTCTTTCCTTCTTCCCTGGGGGGGATTCCCCGGGCCTATCGGCTTTCCTTTTAAGCCAGCTCCTGAGAGAACAGGTGAGGATCCCTGGGGCATCAACGGGACGGGGGGCTCTATAAAGAGCCAAAGGAAGACAAAAGCCTGGGCCAGGGGAACCGGGAGAAGGCTCGGCCGACCGACAGCCACCTGCCAGCTTCTCCCCTGCCCAAAAAAGGGAAAGGTACGTGGCGAGGGTGGCGGCGGCGCCTTCCCTGCCCAGCCCGGGGCTCCTTCCCCACGCAGTCCTCCCTCCCGTCCCTGCCGCCGCGGCTCCCTGCGCAACTCCCTCGCAGCCCTGCGCGCCCGTTGCCCCCTCCCTCCCTCCCTCCCTCGCGAGCTCCCCATGACGCGGACAGGCGAGGGGGGGGCACTCCACTCCGGGCGCCCGCCGCTCTGCCCTTTGCTCGCGGGCGGAGGCGACTGTGTTCATCCCGCGGGAGGAGCCTGCTTCCCTCCGCCTCTCTCCCCAAGCGCGCGCGCTGAGGGGGGGGTCGTTCCAGCCGGGGAAATCCACCCGACCCCCCCACCTACCATTTTATCAGCAGGGCTTTCATCCAACTTCCCTCGCCAGCGCGGCCACTGCCGCCGCTGTTACCGCCGCCGCCGCCGCCAGTACAGCTTGTTTCTGCGCAGGCGCGGGTCGACTTTCCCTTTACCCCTCTTCCTCTCCTCCTCCTCCCTCAGTTCGCGGGCTTCAAATGCCGGGCATCGTCCGCACCGCATCAGGTTCAAGAAACCCCACTGCGTTTCCTCTTTTTCTCTCGCTCCCGCTTCACAACTACTTCGACCTGAAGGATGAAGGATGCAGGATGCTGAGGAGAGTCACCCGAGTCCGGCCAGAGCTCGAACTACGTTACCCATGAGGCCCTCTGGCCTAACCATCTGGTTGCATAGATTTATGTATAGACTTGTGCGCAACCTGCAGCTTCCGCGCTAATTTTATACAATTGCAGGGCAGAAAACAACGGAAAAGCAGTTTAATTCAGTTGTGATTGGACAGAAATACATGCTTTCATCACTCCAAAGTTTATTGGTTGTGGTGGCTCCCCCCCCTCTAATTCCGTTCAGCGCTAGAATTAGACTGGCCGAGGCTCTCTGGACAGACATATGGAAACTGCATAACCTCTTGTCTAACCTTTTTTTGCTGTTCTGAATGAAACTTACATTTTGAAAATTTCCCCTCGTTTGTAAGGACAATTTTCTCTTTCCGTGAGTAAAGATCGCCAGCGAAACCTGGAAAAAAATAACAACCACTCTCAACTTCCCTACTTCTATAATATTGCAAGTGCCGGGGGAAATCGTGTTGCTTCCCATAATGCACCGCACTTTTCTCTTCACTACATTCCCCACAGTACACCGCAGCCAGAGGCCAGGAAACTACAACCCCCAGAATGCGCAAAAGCCGGGTAAGCAGAGCTGACGGCTGCTAGGTGGTCCGGAGTTGTGGTCCCCCCCCCCGGCCCCCCCCCCCCCCCCGCCGCCCCCGCGGGGGGGGGGGGGGGGGGGGGGGGGGGGGGGGGGGGGGGGGGGGGGGGGG